CCTTCGATTCCTTCCTTTTCTTTCCAGGGGGCAAGCCCCCTTGGGAGACACTCATATATGTTGCGGGTCTCCTGTTCAGACTTGATATACCTAAAACTACTTACAGAACAGCTAAGTTTCGGCACTACTTAAATATTCAATCTCGGAATCCACCAAAAATGATGTTCGCTCGTCACGTCACTTTGACGTATGGAACTAAAAAATGAAAAATAAATAATAGACAAATAAAACTAAAAAACGCGCTTTCATAAATAAATATTTTTTTTTGTTACTCAGTATATTTACTCAGTCAGTCCACGACAGACTAGCCATAAACACAATTAATAGCTAACTTTTTTTAAACCTTTGTATAATAATGACTTCAAAATAGTATTTTTGGAAATTGGAACGTGCGTCGATAGTGTTGACTATTCCATCTACGTCAAAGTAATGCTACGCGGTTGTTTCAAGAAATTTATTTATGTTTGATTTCGATCAACCGTTTTTAAGAAAAAGATATCTGAGGATTCTCAGGTCGCTGATGCCGGATCTGTTATTAGAATTAGCTCATCTTCAAAACGAGGGAACTGGTTCCATAATTTATAAGACTGTACCAAAACAATAAGTTTGTTCTACGTTTTACTTCAACCCACACTATCAAATATGTAGACAATTTGACCGATTTTTTTCCATCGATACCCTGAACGTTTCAAAGATGGCCGCTCCGACAACCAGCAAAAATTCTATTATATGCTTCTGCACATCACCCCTCGAAATAAATAATTATCATGTAAATAATATATGCCTGGTCTCTTCTATTATGACATCAGTCTGGGAGAGTTGTCATTAGGCGTTCTTTGCTTCGGCCCCTCTCGAGGGTAGACACCCCATTGGTCGAAGGGGGCCCTTGTTACTGCTTGGTACCAATGCAACGGATTATTCATCGATCACGACCAGATAAGCCTAATAACACGTTACGGGGCTCGCCTTGCACATGAGCGTGCACAAGGGTGCTTTAATCAAAAAATATCCTCTTCCTACTATTTATGTTCATACTTGGTCAAAGGCGCTACCGATCATAATATAATTGATTAAACAAACGCATTACGAGATATTTTCAGTTCACTTTCTATCGCATAAATGACGATGAAAGATCATCATCAAAATGGCGTCAAGTAGGTTGACTCTACCGGCATATGTATGTAAATATTAAAATATCATTCGACCTGTAAATATTAACCCAATGGTCGCCAACCTTTTATATCAGAAATCATTTCTGCTAGTTCTTTGTCTCTCCCCTGAAGCTGCAAATTAAGTTCCTTTAATTTTTCTGTAATATCCACAAGAAAACCAAAAAAGCCAGAATGAATTTTCCAGTTCCGGAATCGATTCATCAGGTTGTTTGAAAAATTTTACTTTGACAGATATGGTATCATTAAAACGGATCAGCACTTGTCCCCTACTTAACCACCGGACTTCAAGGTAAAGAAGTAGTATTGACAGACAATTTCATCGGCTAAGGTTTTGAATAATTTTATAACGCTTGAGCTCTAATCTTGTTCACAATTTTTAATACCAATTTCATAACGTTGTTTAGTTTTAGAAAATGTTAAGATAATGCTTGCTGATGGATAATGCAGTGGTAACAGAGAAATTGCGGAAAACTTTCATCTTTATGACATAAACCCACGAGACCCTTATCACAACCCACCACAGCTGGAGCGCAATCGGTTGTCAAGCCTACCATTTTCGATATTGGAATTTTCTCAGAAGAAATAATAGTAGTATAGTAATACTTATTTCGGACACGCGGTATGATGCTTCAGTTGCAGTCTTACTTTTGTCGATAGTTTTTAAAAACATTGTCTGTTGTCCAATTAACTGATTTTTTAATTGTTTCAGTTTTTCCGTTCTGGTTGCAGAACGTAATGGGAATGACTTCAAAATTCGAATGTACAGTTTTATAGTGCTTCTCGAGATTCCTTTTTCTAGCAACGGAAACAGATGTATTACATAACAAACATACATTTTTACCTTTAACTTCTGTAAAGAAATATTGTTCTTCCCATTCCGAAAGGAAATGGTATGTCATCATCTTCTTACTGCTGCTCATAATGTTTTGAATTGCAGGCCAACTCTAACCCAACCGCTGGACGTTCAACGTAATCGAGATCTTTCTCGAACAGATCGCTCACCGCAGTGTTTCCGCTGCTTGTGTTTATTATGAGAATTTACAAAATTTACTGAAGCTTCTATGATTTTCACACCTTTTTAAAATATGTTGTGTGCCACCAGAATTGCCTTTGCGAGCTACCGGTAGCTCACTGTACTGAGCACAAATGTAGGAAACAATTTATCTGTGAAATATATCTCATATTGCGTAATTGCCGGAGACAGAAGTACCTCATCGCGTTTTGCTAAATGCGATGAACAGATTAACTTCATAACTTTTCATTCCTTAATCCAAACATATGTTGCTTCATTTTCATTGGGAACTTTCCCCTGTACCCAATAAACAAGTTATAATATATTACGTTAATTCGACTACAAAATAAGTTAAAAAGATTTCATCACCAATTTGAAAAAGGTTACATTTTCTTCCAAGAGTTTGCCTTTTTCCCAAAGTAGGTAATATAACCAAAATAACTTAGAAGTCAATATTACGTTGATGATGCATTTGTTACTGATAGGTCGAAGGATATAAACAACTATTTGGGTCATCTTGTGGTAAAATCGTGTGTAATATTGCCGTTTAAAATCACATCAGTCTGACCTAAATTTAACAATAAAGGAAACATGCTACGTCGCTCTCTCTCCTGCTCATACATACAGTTGGTAACCTGTTGGTTAAAAGTAAGATTAGCTGGTGATGCACTTGTCTATAGCCAAGTATGATTTCGAAATTAGATTTTCGGTCACAAGTGAACGAAAAATCTATGCGCAGGAAATTTTTTCGTCAAATGTGGCCACAATAGTCATTTAACATTCACGGGCATTAAAATTATTTCTAATTAATTAATAATTTTAACGACACACTGATAACAACGTACACTCAAATTATAAGAACGCTTTGTTTTAAGACTCGCAGTTGTTAATTACATATATGCAAAATGTCTTTTTGAGCGACCTGAGTATTTTTGGAAAAAGTAACAGTATGTAAGCAATTATTTAGTTAATGTTCATCTTTAAATATTAAAAAAAGAATATATCAAATATGGCTGTTGTCAGAATTTCGACATTTCGACAAGAAATCTACGAAGAACTTTGATAACCGACGCTAAAGGTGAATCAATATTTCATGTTTTGAAGGATTACTTCATTGAAAAAGCAATTCCTTTATCAAATATGATATCAGTAGCTACAGATGGAGCACCTGCCATGGTTGGACGTTATCGTGGATTTATAAGCTATTTAAAACAAAATGTGTCAGGGGTGTTAGCAATATATTGCGTCATCCATCGACAACATTTAGTTGCTAAAAATTTGAGTGTTAGATTGCATGAATCACTTCATTTAGTCATTGATGCAGTAAACCGAATCCGAAGCAACGCGTTGAATACGCGGTTTTTTGCGCAGTTGTGTGAAGAAAATGACGAACACTTTCATCAATTACTCCTTCACACTGAAGTATGCTGGCTGTCGAAAGGCTTATGTTTGACAAGTTTTTTTTCACGTTTTCAGACTATTTTAGAATTTCTGGATACTAAAGATAACATTTTAAAAGAAAATTTAATGAAGAGGAAAACAGACATCGCCTATTTAACAGATTTGTTTACAAAATTTAATATGGTTAATTTGCAATTACAAGGCGACAGTTTAAATTTGATTAAAACAAAGTCCATCTTATCAGCGTTTCTTGCCACATTTAAACTTATGAAGCAAAATATTTGACGGGGCGAATTTTCTCAGTTCCCCAATTTGTCACAGACAAGCTGCCAGGAAGACGACGTTTCAACTTACGTTCCACATTTAAATGCCCTCTATTCAGATTTTGAATCTAGGTTTGAGGATATTTTGACTATGGTAATACCACCGTGGATATAATTAATCCATATGGTGACATAGAAGAAACGAATGTCATAATCCAAGAGGAACTGACTGAACTAAGTACCAACGAAGAACTTAAGGTTCAGTTTAAAAACGGATATCAGCAATTCTGGCTGCAAAACAACATACCCATTACTTATCCCGTATTATGGAATATAGCGAGGAAATTTTTAATTTCCTTTTCATCGTCATACCTAGTGGCAAGGGGGTTCAGCGCTGTTACCAATCTCGTAACGAAAAAAAGAAACAGACTGGACATCATTAGCCGAGGAAATTTAAGATTAACCCTTACAAAATTGACGCCAAATTTTGATAATTTATTATTAAAGCATCAGGTTCATCCTTCTCTCTAAAAATATTGACTTATTGCTTATGTTATTTTATTTATAGTTTATTTTATGTTTATTGGTGTCTGAGCAATAAATGCATTGGGAATAAATGCCCGCATTGATTTTTTTAAAGAACCCCCTTTATAGAAATTTTTTTTTTAAATTATTCTGAAAATTCAAGGATAGGTACACACTAAAATTCGTTAATTTTTTGCCTTTTTTTAGATAACTTAAACGTATAAGAAGCGGAATTTAATCAAACTAACAGTGAAATTATTGTAGAACATACGTTTATGTTATAATTAATAAACGAACTCGCTTATTGTACTATTTTATGTAAAAACTTTTTTTATTTTTCACTTTTTTTTTATTTTATCCCTCTTATTTTTTTTTCAATGCGGGCACTTATTCCCAATGCGGGCACTTATTGGTCAGACAATGTTTATTTAATGTTACGTATATTTTACATAACAGATACAAAATTTTATTTTGAGTAGTTTTAATTTAAATTCAATTAATAAATGTAATTAACATGTGTTTTTACTTTAAGTTTTTAACACTTAACAGTACAGTTAGAAATTTACAGGAAATCAATATCAGGTATGTAGGGGAGACCCAACACGGAAAAACATGGCAAGGGGTCTACGACACAAAAAAGTTTGGGGAACTCTGGTTTAGACTACTTCAATCAAACACAAGACATGCTTGACAGTTTCTTTAATGAAATATCGACCACGCTACACCTCAAGACGCAGCTACCGCCAAACCTCCAAGCGACATCAACAGATCATAAGCGCACTGTCCTCTGACGCAATATCCTAGTTTCCGTTTCTTCCCAAAGTAGGCGTAGCAAAACAGCAGACCCGCTAGCATCGCCCCTATTGATCCGTTCGACCAACCCACTACCAGCAGCGCCACAACTGACGGAATGACAGATAGATCAGTCATTCCTGGGCGGCGATACTCCATCAGGATGAAGAAGATGAGGGCGGGGAGGCCTGCAGAGGCCAATGCGAGGCATAGAGAGGGCTGGAGGGCGTGGTAACGTAGCGCAACCTCGGCTGCCATGAGGGGCGGGACCTGTGTTAGTTGGGCGTAGTCTAGTAGAATGGTTAGGTCCAGCAGTAGGTCGTCCCATACTGAAATTAAAAAAAATATGTGAGAGCGCGCTAATCAGATGACTGAAATTGATTTCAATTTACGTTACTTGAAAAATGGCGTAAGGTTTATGTTTAGGATTATGTTTGGCACAAGTTGACCCGTCTGAGAAAAAGGTTAAAGTTATAAGAACAAATTGAATTACTTTTTTATCCCCCTGAGAGAAATTCCTGTAGGAGCACATGGTATCCTGCATGAAGGACGATATTGGATTTCACCATGTACAGTGAACACAGACCACAGTAGTGCGGAAGCGATTGCCGACTTGATGTACGAAGCTCATTCATCGGAGACCACGTCGCACGTATCGACACGTGAATGTTCGAGGTATTTCTAAGTTTAAAGGGTAAATGTACGAGGATATCTATGATGAGTGAAATAGGCTTGATAGGTGCCTAAAATTTACCGGGATTCGAGACATATATATCCGAGCAGTAGTCATTGCCATTGCCAACTACCAGTTGGGCAAAAGAAACAATTAAATTGTTTATTGTGAATTGGTAAAACTTAAGGGTAGTGAACTATTTTGACTGAAATCTCGAGCTTTCGACAAACTATGTTGTCATCTTCAGGAGCTAAAACACAAATAAGAAAATAGCAACCAGTTTAGAACAAATTTGAGTTTCCAGTTACTTACTAGTCGATGAGGTTGCTGCTAAATGGTGTTTTAGAACGAAAGCGTGGATGAGAACAGTGGCTAGGATTATAAAAACAAAATACCGGACACATTAGGTTTGTTGTTAACGACGGAACACATAATGCGCTACACACATCTGTCAATGAGCCCGGACAGATTAAAAAATGGACAGAGTAATAGGTGGTTTCCTGCAAAGATGATTGTTCGAAAGTGTTTCAATAGTTAATAAATCTTCAAATTCTTCAAAATCCGTTAGTGGTTTCTTGGAAAAAACATAGCTATAGTTTTATCAACAATTAATAATTAGATAATTTTAGGTATAATAAAAAAATTTGTCTTCCCAGTCTAACCTCAACAATCCAGCTTTTTGCTCGTTGACTATGTATTGTCTTCTAAAAATTTGTCGTGATTACAAAGCTTCTCCGCTGGGAGGCGTAGGAAATAAAAGCATTTGGCTCATTCCATTTCATAGTGAGTGACTAGCTCTAGCGCATTACTGCTGCTTTTTTCGTCATATGTTACTGTATAATGACAAAACATATATTTTAGGAGAGCCTGAGTCGTAAGCAAACGATGAACCTTATTTGATATCTGTTTGATCACCGTACTGACGGACATTCAGATAAGTAATAAAAACGGGCCAATGAAATAGCCAGAATGGAATGAAAGACGTACCATTTGAAGACCTTATTAAAGAAATTATTTATTCACTTGTAATGGCCATAGTTTTTTTTATGAAACATGACACGGATCCGTGTTTTTTTGAGTTCTATTAATGAAATAAGCTTAACGCGCAATATATAAGAAGCTTTTGGTGAGCGACTGTAAATGTCAATTTCGTTATCATTGTGTGGTTATTAAGGACAATTTTTTCAGAAGAGAAGAATTTTTGTGAGTACTGCCCACCGTTAATATTCGGTTTTTTATTTTGCGGACGTTTGATACAACATTCAGTTACTCCACTATTCAAACTACAAATCCAAAACCATCCAAACATACAACAAAATCAAACATAACCAGAAACAATAAAACAACAAAGACAATGCTAAAAGCAAAAATGACTGTAACAAATTTAGCACTAAAATCATTAGTATTAAATACAAAATGTAAAGATGAATATTCTTTTTTATGTCGTGTTACCATGAAAGTGAAAGCGTTATTTAGTTCAACCTATTTGTGTAAATCTTCCTTTTCAAATATGAAGCTTATTAAAAACAAATACCGTAATCGACTTACAAATGAACATTTGAAAATTCTCAGTGAGTCTGAGTGTCAGGCTCCTCATTGAACACGCATTTATTATCTGGACATGTTTTTGTTTAAAATGCGTTGCTTTTTTATTTTTAGTCACCTTTAATAAATCGTATGTGACATGTCATTGTAGCTGACGAAAAATTTTGTTTATTTTTCAGACACCAACGATTGGTAGGAATGGATATAGTTATGTATTATGTGTTAGTTATTAGTTTATTTAAGTTTATTAGTATTAGTAAAATAAACACATGTATGTCACATACAACTGTGTATAATTTGATTTAAGTTGGCTTACATTGCTTACGACTAGGTAGCTCACTATTTAGGCCATCTACTATACCGCCAGAATTGACGGCATCTTGCGGCCACAGTGGTGGCCCGGATATCAAATGCGAACTGGCATACACTTCCAACAGACAGCTTGTTGTTTTCACTGTCGCTCTGTCCGATTCTGGTAATAGATGACACTTTGTGCTATGTTATTTCGATCGTCACATATGACTCTGCTGCTACAATTCAATATGCTATGCAACATTTTATGGTATTTTGGTGTCATAATGATTCATCTAACTGATCGTATGAGCAGAACGACGGGTCCGACGTTTGCATTTCCCCGGACGAATGGTGGAGCAGCGTATTGTATATGTTTTAGAGAAATTCTCAATTAACTGAAATGTTATCTAGAAACGTTTCATGTTGTCATCACATTCGGGGTGTGAAAATTAACTTCGTCACAGGCTCATAGCTCTGACGGATTTTTGATCTTGGATTTGGCCAAAGGCTGTTTGGCTGGCACAGATGTACCTTAGGAGCTTGACTAATGTCTTATAACATGATTCCACTCTATCCATCTTTATACATGCATATAGGGATGAAAGATAAACGAAGATGAAGACATAAATATACTTACACCAATGTGAGATACTGACGAAGCAGAAGAAAATCATGATAATGTAAGCGATGAAGGCATAGTGCATGATCTCATTTTGGGGTATCGCAATGGTGAATACATGCAAACTGTATAAATTTATTAAAAATGGTAAAATTTCCAGCATGGTTTTGATTAGTGTTATTCCTTTTCTTTTAAAATCTGTATGCTGAGTTACTTTCATAGGTTTTGACAGTTGCACTGTTATTAGAGTTTCTTTTTCTTCAGAGTAATCGTCATCATCTCCATCTTCGGAATCTACTAGTTTTTCGATGTTCAGCTTGAGTGTATTATAGATCAGCCTGGTTAGACTAACCATTATTAGCTTTTGTGCAAGAATTTCCCCATTATAAGTTCAGCGTGTCATGATGAGTGATGGTGATGGCGTGATGATTTGACAGTATCAGTGCAGCTGTCATAGTTGATTAAGACTAAGTGTATGTCTACACCGAGTGATTCAGCGTACTTCAAGAAATTAGTCCCAGATTCTGGCCAAATAAACCACATACAGGATGATTCGCAAGTCGTGACCAAAAATGAAACATTATTAGGACCGCATTTTAAGGGGGGTAACATTTTTTCCTCGAGTTTAATTAAAAACAATTTTTTGAATATCTTCAAAACCGTCAACTGGAATGAACTAGGTATGTGGATTTACCTAACTATTGTCCACATTCGAAAGTCTTTACTTAAAACTAACATCCAGCAGTGGCGGAGATAAAGGGGATTAGTGGCATTATTTTTCCAAGTAAAAATAGTACGCCTCTGTTCTTTTTCGAAACGCTCAATTTTTCTAGTTTTACCTTCAATTTGCTACAAATAATTACTCTTGTGTTTTTTTCCTAGCGTGCAATGTTTTTGTAAAAATAAAAATAAAAAAATGGTTTATAAGTCATCTATCACTTTTTTTTCTATTTGAAAAATCAACACGCTTTTTACGAGGTGAAATCGAATTTTTTTATTGATAAATGAAGGTTGGTTTATGCCATTTATGTATGAAAAATAACACAAGTCATGTGACCACTGCGGCTTCGTTTACAGGCCAACATCCAAACATCAAAATTTTCAATGACTTTTCCCAGAATAATCGGGTCTATGGCCGCAATTTCAGTCCGAATGTTGCGCTTTAGGTCTTGAATTGTCCGGGGACCATTCACATATACTTTTCTTTTCAAAAATCCCCAAAGAAAGCAGTCAAGAGGTGTTAAATCGCACGATCACGGGGGCCAACTGACATCTGAATTTCGTGAAATTATGCGGTCTTGAAATTGCGTGTGCAATAAGACGATTGTATGGCGAGATGTGTCAGCCGTTGCTCCGTCTTGATGAAACCAAAGATCATCGGCAACAATACGATCCAATTATGGTACAAAAAGTCTGTTAACATGCCGCAATAACGTTCCCCGTTGACGGTAATGGCATTTTCTTTGGCATCTTCAAAGAAGAATGGTCCAACGATGCCACCAGCCCATAATCCGCACCAAACAGTCACTTTATCAGGATTTTTAGCCCACCATTATCTGCAATTTTGCTTATTTACGTACCCATTGAGGTGAAAATGAGCCTAATCAGAAAAGACTACTTTGGCCGAAAATCCGTCTTCTCTTTCCAGCATCCAATTAATAAAACCACGCTGCTGTTGATGGTCTGCCGGCTTCAATTCTTGTGTTAGTTGGATTTTGTATGGATGGAGGTGTAAATCAATGTGTAAAATCCGGAGTAAAGTGGTCTCAATAATTCCCAATTCTTGCGAACGGTGCCTAGTCGAAGTGGTTGGATCTTCTCGCACACTTTCACTCACTGCGGCTATGTTTTCACGAGTACGAGCTGGACGAGCATGTTGGTATGGTCTACGACCTTGAGCTGAACCAGTTTCCTCAAAACGATTAACTATCCAACGAATTCCAGGCTCTGTAGGGCGTCCATGTCGGCCAAAACTAGTGCGAAGTTTGCGAAAAGTATTGTTTATATTTCGACCGTCTTCGTAATGAGTTTGGATAACCAAAATGCGTTGTTGTGTTGTAAACGAATCCATGACTATAAATGACATACCTTTGACAGATCATTTATGCATACCACATGACTTTTGACTCACATGGTAACACATAAACTTATAGGTGAAAAGAAGTAATAGATGGCGCACCCAGTACTTTTTCCATCTTACGTAGGTATTTGCTTTACAAGAGATTTTGATAAAATATTTAATTCATGTATATATTTTAAACAGGAAAAAACGCGAGTCAGCGTGAAGAAGACATGCTTTGCATGCGTAGCATTGCTATCTTGGTAACCGCTAAAGGTACGTAAATTAAGGCAAAAATCTGGATTTCAATGCTTGCTGGCAAATAGCAAAGATATTTTATAATTTTCAACCGTCGTGCTGTTTTATTTCTGCATTACTGCTCTTAGAACGCAATATTGTTTTAATAATGTTGCTAGTAAGACAATTAAACTTTTAAGAAGTGTTTAGCTTTGTAAAGTTATCGTAAGAACGTTCTTAGAGAATAAATACAAAACAATCTTACGACAAATTTTAATATTATTTCATAAATGCTTGCACAACAATTTTTTACGACATTTAAGATAGCCCTCAAACATGTGAGTAGCCTTTTGGACTCATGGAGACCGCTAAAAGTGCAACAGGCCTATAATAATAAGTGTCTAGCCTAGTATTGAACTGACCGAGAAAATTCGGTAGTACCAATACCAATCCCGAGGAGCGAAAAATATTGCCATGCCTAGACATATAATGCACGAAAAAAATATTCACATGTGAAGATTTGGGTAGAAGAATTGAAAAATCTGCATACATAGATCCGCAGGGTTGTTCCGTAAAAAAACTACCTAAATAATGTAAAAAAAAATGGGAAAAATTTCAGGTTGTGCACTAGGAAGGAAGTGAATGTCAGCCAGTTCAAAGGTGACATTTTATAGAAACACCTACAGCTGCTGGCACCTACCAAGATTTGGTCATATGGTGCGCAGTAACAAGCTCCTTCCACGGAACGGCGGCAATACTGGATGGTACCTCGTCCGTCATTATTCTAGTAGCATACCGAGAACCGACTGACGCCTACAGCTGAAGTTGAAGCGCACGTTCTGTTTATAGAATAGTGAAAATATTTTTACAATAAGTAATCTGAGTAGAAATAAAGTTTTGTCCAACCACACGGGTGAGGTGGTATACAATGTATACCAATACATCCTCAATTTGAAAACTGGCAGTGACGGTTCCCAAAATATGGCAGAGATTAAAGCTGAAGTAGCTAAAGCAACATGAGTATCAATTGCCAGTATAACTCGCGTTGTTGAAAAGGTTCAGGATGCCAGAAGTAATGGACAAGAACAAGCAGAGTTTTCTGGTGAAATTGGTGCTGCACGAAACCGTGATTTCCTCATGACATCTGTCAAACGAGAATTTCACTACTGCAGATATAAGAAAGATTATCTATAATTTCCATTTAACAAACAACGAGTAACAATCGGAGCGCTTAGCAAGAAACTAGAAGATGTCGATTGGCGTGGTAGCGAAAGATCTTTGAGCAGAATCGTTAAATAACTCGGCTTCAAATGAAAAAAAAAAAAAAACAGAATAATAGAAAACTACTCATCGAGAAATGGGACATTCGTCAACTAAGAATCAGCTATCTACAGAAAATTGAATAGTTCCGAGAACAAGGCCGCAAAATTATATACCTAGATGAGTCCTACATACTAGGGCTAAAAGTTGGGTTGATGGTAGTAAGTGGGGCCTCTTTTCCAAAGGAGAGCGACTAATTATGATCCATGCAGGTAGTACCGACGGCTTCATAAATGACGGTTTATTGATTTTTAAATCAGGTACAAAAAGCGGAGATTATCATGACGAGATGAATAGTTCGAATTACGAGAAATGGTTGAAGCAGCAGCTTATTTCAAATTTGCCACCAAATTCTGTGATAGTTACTAATAATGCAGCTTATCACAACATATAAGTGGATCCTGCACCAAGCTGTAACGCTCGGAAGTAAGTAATGGTTGACTGACTTGAATCTAAAAATATTAGATTCACACCGACTAAGTATGCTGAAACCAAAACTTTATGAATTGATAAAGCAAAATAAGCAACAATTCATACAGTATAAATACGATGTACTTTTGCGCATCAATGGACACACAGTTATACGATTACCACCATATCATCCCGATTTAAATCCTATTGAATTGATATGGACTACAGTGAAGAACAGAGTTGCAGATCGAAATATCACATTTACTTTAGAAGACTCACAGCGAATAGCGGAGGAGGAACTTTCAATGATAACACCAGATGATTGGAAGAAACGATGTGCTCATCTCATCAAAATTGAAACGGAATATCTGGGAATGGAACGGGAATATCACACCTGAGGAATTTATTTTTAACATCGGGGATGATGATAGCGATAGTGACAGTGACAGTGATATGGAAGATAGCGAGTTCTTACCCTCCTAAAGAAATGTAGCATGCGTTTACAAGCAGGATCAATGACTTACATTTTATATTTTGCAGTTTAAACGTGAATATCCCATTAGATATATTCATGTTTCGGATATATTTAGGTATACTTATAAGCATTAGGCTTTCAAACTGTCCAGAACTTTTTTAATCTTCTTATATTAAGCTGAGGACTGATTGATTCGTAAATTACCAAACAAGTTAACAGCAGGAGAAGATATGGTACCGAGCTTTGTAGTCCGTGATGCGGCGCACACATTTGTCACGTCTTTAAAGCAAATATTTAATTACTCCCTCAGTACAGCAACTTTTCCTACAAAATGGAAACTGGTTAGAGTGTGCCCTATTTTTAAAGCTGCGGACTCTAGTAAAATCGAAAATAACCGAGCTATATCTATATATATATATATATAACTACATCTATCCTTTGACCTCGCATCTGATATCTGAGACGCAACATCGATTTATGCGCAATCGCTCTACCATTGCTAACTTAACTGAAATCACCCAGGAAATTGCAGAGGTCTTAGATTATAGGGGTCAGTTGGATGTGGTCTATATGGATTACTCAAAGGTTTTCGATAAGATTAGTCACCAAAGAATCATATGTAAACTTCAGCATTTTGGTTTTAGCAATCATTTATCTTCTTCTTACTTGCATGATAGAAATCAGTACGTTTCTTACAATGGTTTAAAATCTTTACCTTACTCGGCCTCATTCAGTGTACCGCAGGGATCAAATTTAGGCCCTATGCTCTTTCTTTATTTTATCAATGACCTCCCTAACTGCTTAACCTGTCCTTCTATGTTGTTTGCCGATGCTTTAAAAATATATGCTCAGATTAACAGCATTGATGACTGTCTAATCTTGCAAGCTGACCTGAATCATATATTTGAATGGTGTTCAACTAACAAATTACTTTTGAATGTTAGCAAATGCAAAACCTGTTCTTTTACCAGGAAAACGAATCCAATAATTTTTGATTACACACTGGAAGGTGTCAGTTTGATGGGTTGTTCAGAAGTAAGAGATCTAGGTGTGTTGTTTGATGTTAAATTAGAATTTCTAGGTCATATTAGTACAATAGTATCAACCGATATAAAAAGTCTCGATTTTTTGGTAAGAAACTGTAAATCGTTTGGTAGTGAAACGGCACTGAAGGCTTTATACTGCACCTTGGTGCGTTCTAAGCTGGAATATGCATCTAGTGTATGGCATCCATATTACCAAATCTATACTAATGAAATTGAAAGTGTACAGAGGAGATTTCTTAAATACTTGACGTTCAAATTAGATGGTGTTTATCCCAATCGTGGGACTCCCCAATCAGCTCCTTTACAAACTCGTACACAGTGATGTTGATTCTTCAGCTTTATTAGCTAAAATTGATTTTCATGTACCGTCCCGCATTTCCCGAAGAATTCTGGCTTTTTACTTAAAAACACCAAATCCTAATGTTATGATTAAGTCACGGGTGTACTTTACGTGTTCCAGCTTTAACACCATAGCTGATAATTGTGACATTCATCATGATAAAGTAAAAGATATATTAGCTGTATTCAGCGACTACTATTATTCAATTTATATCTAACATTTAGGACATGTAAGTGAGTAGGTGTAGCTATTCATTTTATACTTTAATTTTTTTTTCAGAAACTGGGCGAGCTATGATTGTAGTTAAACATACTGTAACGTCAAATTGTATTCAATTACATTGTCCTTTAAATGGATGTAGGTATCTGTTGGGCAATAAATATATTATTATTATACGTATCTAATAATAATATACCTACATGTAAAAATATAAGTAGTAAATATAGCGGATACAAGTGTTTCATTTTTGACCTAAGAGCAAAAAAACTAAAGTTTTTTTTTAATTAAGCAGATGATTCACTTTGCTTGAAGATACCTTCTCAAATTCATATGACCAACGTGAAATTTCAAAGCACGTCACTGCCAAGTGAAACAATAACATGATATTAAATACAACCCACCACCACCTCGACCGTTCCTATTGGCTTCCACTTTTAAGGTTAGAAGATATGACTGTCCGAGAGTAAATCTTGGTAGGTGCCGGTAACGGTACCTAGGTACATAATGTCAAAAAAACCTAAGTACATAATGTCATGAAACATCGAAATGTCACTTTTTAAGCTACGTTATACGGACGGATGCCGACTCGAGGTACAAAAAAAATGCTTACACAAAGATCCGTGTTGAAGGCCCAAAAAATGTGGCAGTGAAAATACAATAAATTATGAAACATTGAACCTACAAAGTCTATATTGTGACATACCGTCCTCATTTTTCCGAATCAAAGTGAGGGTCCTCAAAAGCGTCCATCAAAACAGCTGAAAATAGCGCCCAACAAAGCGGGGTCCTACAAAAAGCACCGCCGGCATAGAGCATCATCAATCCAAACAACAGGATTACCAGAAAATCCCATAAGGCACGCTTAACTTTCATAGGCCACCTTCGACGCTACAATCGTCCTAAGTCTCCCCTCCACCACTAATACGCTTCTGTTATTGGTGCGCTCCCTGTTTTAGCCCCGCCCCTCGATGCAGCCCACTCCTGGCGCTGTCACTCGGGCCCCAGTCTGTTGGTGATCGTCCTAGTGTGAACGTGGAAAGTGCGGCTGTGTTCTGATACATTCTGTTGACTATTACGTGACCATGATGCATTCGATGAACGATCCGGCGTCTATGCTATCCGGCATGATGTCCTTCGATTCGATCAGCCTGTATGAACAGCCCAAACCGAGGTTCATATTCAAAATGCCCAGAGTGGTGCCCGATCAGAAGGCGAAGTTTGAGTCCGACGAGTTGTTCAGGAGGCTCAGCAGGGAGAGTGAGGTTAGTTTGAAAGATGGCGAGGAATAGGTTTACTGAGAGTATGCATCGTGAATTTTTTTAGATAGTTAGGTGTCGACAGGCCCTTCGAAGAGGAATGCTTTCCTGGGGATGAATAGATAGCAATAAAAAATCATACAGTCACGATCACACTATTTTTGATCCAAGTTACCGTACGTTCAAGTTCTGGCCCCGTTTGGCGAGCCCCAATCTGGAGAATTCAACCTGGGCACGTACGTGTTCCTAAAATAAGTATTTTGATATATAAAAAAGTCGATGTTATGCAGCATCTATTGCCAATTTCCTGTGTTTTTTTAATTCAGACTCCTCCTTTTTACCCATTACATTCCGCCTCGACTCCCCGGATACGGAAAGATTCCTCCACTCATTATTGCCCTCCCTTTTGATGCTTCCGTGCAATTTCGAGACAATCAGAAAGTGATCTTCACCAAGAATTGTTAGTTGTAAGTAAGACTAACTGTGTACTAGGAACTGCCACAATATGTATCATTGCGAGGGCGTTTCGTGCTCTTTATGTTGCGTATGGTCCGTATGAATTGGGATGACTCGGGGCCGAATTTTCTCAGCCTAATTACAATTACAACCTTGACGTTATAGACATATTTAAAACATAGCCTGACCACTATTAGAAAAACCCACCGGAAGATAGTGTTGGTGGGACACGTTACAAAAAACCCACATTTTTGATGATGGTGTTTTCTTGTCGTGTTTTTCTTTGCCAACTGCTAGAGAAGAAGATATAATAAGTAATATCGTTATTTTGAATAGATATCTACCTTGCGTAGTGTCAAGTCTGGCGATAAAGCAAAATGCATAATATTAAGTCTTTGAAAAAAGTGCAAACAGTAAAAAATTAGGAATTATTATTGTCAATTTGAAGCATGCTATAAAAGAAATTATGCTCAGCGAGGGAAAGTTTGCCCTCCGTGAGGAAGACGAAAAACCTTATTTATATTATATAACTAAATCTTTTAAAGAATGAATGCATAACTAAAAAACTAAACTAAATTTATTTTGTATAAAAATCATCGAGGAAAAAATGCCTTTTAAGTTAGTAATTTCTTAATTTGCAGTAAATTACCAAAATTTATTTTTGAAATTAAGTCGATTCTGGTAAGAATTATTTGCCTGGGGAGAGGCAGATAATTTGGCGTCGGGAATTCAAATTTGTATTTAATAGGCTGGGATTTATTACTATGATTTGTGCTTCCATCGCACTCCCTGTTGTGTTAGTAAAAATGTTTAATAAAAAGCGTGGGGTGCAAGAATAAAAACATAACCACGAAATTTGGACGCACCATCCTCTTTACTTTTAAACTATCCCCATGCAAAGGTATAATAGAAAATAACGTTAGAGTCCCTAACCTATACCTTATTTGACTTTCAATGTTGAGTTTTAACAGATTCGATTTCATTGGCAGAACAATTTGGGTATTGATGTCATTAGACCATTTCAACCGAGGATATATACTTGCTAATTTACTTAGCTGGGGCATTGCAGCTCGCGATCTTTGCACCAATAGGGTAAAGATGGTTGTCTGGAGATTTCGTTACTTTTTTTACAGGGGTAGAAGTCAGAAGCATCGTTCCACAAACGATGATTCCACTGCACTCTTTGATTGAAAACTTCCGGAACTTCTGTTGATTGAGATACGTGAGATTGTCATTTATTATAATGTTGATACAAATCATTCTTAAAATGAATGACTGTGACTGTGATTCCATTCCTTATTTCTTATTTACATTTGCCGTTGTTTGAATATAGAAAAGAAAAATGCTTCAAGAACAAGATATTATCTTTTACCAGAAACCATTAGATTATTGATAAAGCACTTTTCTATTAGGAAACCACAACTTAAATATGACTTTACGTTCTACTGCCTTCACATTTTATTATAATTCATCCAATTCTCTGAATTTAGAACAGGTATAAATATTGGTATTCTACACAGTTATCCTATTACCCATTATGTAGAAACGAACAAAAGTTAATCGACAGATAACGTGTATTTCAAGGTCGACATCCTTCAAAATTCCGTTAATGATTTTGTAGAATTTCCAATTCTAGGAAATCAAAGCGCACAAAGCGGGTCACCAGTGAAGATGACTAATCCGG